ACCACCTCCGGCGATGCCGCCGAGGGCACCTGTCGCGCCGTTGGCGAGGCCTGATACTGTGTCGCCGGCGCCATCAAGGCCACCGAGGCCGCCAAGTCCACCAAGGGGACCGCCGCCGCCCTGCTCAGATTCACTGCGCTTGCTCTTGCGCTTCGACTTGGTCTTGTCCTTGCGTGAGCGGCGCTGGCGAGGCGCCTCCTCTCTGCCCTCTTCCTCAGAGGCGTACTTGGTATCTCTGCTTCGGGACGACATTGTGGCTGTTGTGTCGTCGTGGTGATGGGAGATTTGCAGGTGAGATTGGTAATTCAAGAACGTTGAACGGGTGATTTTTGATGGTAAGTTGGTTTCTTCTCAATCTCGTGCCCTCTGATACTACAACGGGGAGCGCAAGTCATATACTCAACCCTCAGACATGGGACAAAACAGGATGGGTGCGCCCCTCCTCCTGGATGAGATCATGTTGGACCCTGAATTCCTGCTTCCCGTCTTCATTGTCACTCGGATTTCCGTCACAATCTCTTGACATCCCAGACCGTATGACGTCGAGAGCGCCCCAATTTGGATGATGGGCAGGTAACAGGGGGAGGGGCGGAAGAGGTGTGGACATGTCTGTGGAGTGGTTTGGGGGGTCTATGGATCAACGCCTCTCCTCACCAATGAAGGGTAGTTGACGTCGAACGAAAGGTCTGTCTCACCTCCCTCTCATGCACCTTTACCCTTCCTCTTACATCTGCTGCACCATGTCTGCCTACTCCAGGATCAATCACATTAACTCAGAGGTCTTTTAATGGAGCCCATGACGCTTGACTTAGTCTATTCGGGCCATCAAACAAGCTATGGCAACGTGGACACGACGAGTGTCGATACCCTGTCTCTCCCCAGAAACCAAAACGCCCTAATTCCCAAAAACGCCATGCCCTGAAGGTCGTCAGAGACCGTTGTACTCTGCACACTCCCCTCCCTCTCGCCCCGGCATGCCCTGCTTTTCTTGCTGCTTCGCATTCTAGGCCGTCAGTCCCTTACATACTGGCTGTTTATGCCAAGTGCCAACTGCCGCTTCAGTCCTATTGGGACATAACGGTCGGCAGGCGTCTGCTGGGCGAGTGAACCGTCAGGGTCCCAGTATACGGCCCATCGTGAGCCCTCCTCTCTGCTCTGACTGCGGCAAA